GCATGAGCAGCATGAAAAATGTAGGAGAAGATTAACAGGGCATGGGAGAAGAGAAAGCTCAAACTGGACCCCATTGAAACCACCTCCCCCACTGAGCAGTTACAACACTCTTGTAGTGAGATGGAACTGGAGATGCAGGAAAACTCTATATAGAACTCAGTTATAGCCTTGCATGTATTTGTTTGCACTAATAATTACATCCACAAAATCTTTCTGCAATCCCTGTAAGGTCCCTCTGGTTGTCATAATCAATATCTGGACAGGGCAGACCATTGCAGCCAGGATTCTGGGGACCAGAGGGGCAGACCCGATAAGCACATCACCCCACAATGTTTCAAAAAGTCAAACAGTTGTGAGTGTGCCTTACGTTTCATATGCTGACGTAAAATCACAGGTACGTGTAAGTACGTATGTACACATGTAAATAAGAATGTGTATAATACTCATATGTTGGTGAGCAAGGCTTCCTCTTCCATCCATTAATTGTAAGACTTGGGGCAATTTCTTAATTCTCTCTGAAGGTCAGGTTTCTCCTCTATGAAAGAATACCTCTCTCACAGGGCTACTGTATGAAATGTATTTGAGATCTCTTTATAAATCAGAAAACTTGATTTAAGAATGTGAATTACTGTATGCATATGTGCCGAAGTATAACACCTATACTTTATTGGCCTGCTTGACATTTTTACCCTATTACCTCTACGCAAAGCTCAAGCGAAACTCCCCCATCTCTCCTTGTCTGTTCCTAGAAGCACATTCGTCAGGGAATGATGCTAAGGCTATGCTTTGGACGATGTCTGCATTGTTTTTGATCCTTAAGAATCGTGCACTCTTGTTAAAAGGCATCAAATAGTACAGACGTTTGGCAGCATGGAAGTGAAAATCTTCCAAGCGCCACCTCTACCGGGCCAATGTGGGGGCCAGATAAAGCCACATCTTTACTGAAAGTTGCCCCAACCCTCACGCCCTGCCCTGGCTTGAGTGCTACCTTCCATGGAAGGCAGCCTGTCCAGGCGCTTTCTGTAGGCGACAAGCAGTGTACAGCAGACCCAGGGACCCATAATCAACTCTGGTGGGACAGCCCCAGATCAGAAGCTCTCTCAGTGCCATGGGAAGAGCACAAAAATAAGACCCTTCAGTGCTCTCTTGGTAGCACCGACCTTGGGCAGTTCAGATCTTCACTGATCCTGGTTCCCCATCTGAATAATGAGGAAAAAATAATATGCTGACAGCCTCTTGGGCTCGCCAAGAAAAGAGCATAGGTGAAGCCCAGAAAAGCACTTTGTTAACACTGTAGTTACAGATGATGACATAGTTAGGCCTTGAGAGCCAGGTGTGTCTCATCAAAGAATCCCCCTTTCCACTTTCTCAGGGGCTTAGCAGCACTTGGGCAGTCGCTATGTGTAGGAAATGTAAAACTTCACAGTTTGCTAAAGGGAAGTGTGTTCTCATGGGCCAGAAGGGGTGGCAGCAAGCCCAAAGACAGAGAGGACATTGCAATCTTCCACAGCCTCCAGTGGTGCCTGGCTGGGAAAGCCAAAACAGAAGGGGAGCAGAGCCACTGGGGCTCTTCCCACTGGGCAATTGGGTCACCACGTTCCTGGCACTGTGCCCCAAGTGATTACGCTTCATCTGTCTCTCACCACAGCTTCAGGGGCAGGGGGGAGGATTGAGAAGGGAGAGTAGGCCCATCCATTTCTCTTCCTTGACTGGCTGAGAGACCAAGTCCAATCAGGAGGCTGAGGCACGGCCAGGAGGCCCCACCACCCATCTATATGAGGTATGACCAGTCAACAGCCCCGAGGCTTTGAGCAGGGGATATTTGAGAAGACAAGATGGCCAGGTGATGCTCTGACCGCCCAGTCCATAATGCAGGCCCTTCCTCACAAGTACACGCAGGGCTGGTGGGCCCGTCTTGCCTGCCAACATCCAGAGCAACCACGTCCCCCACCCCTCCTCCTGTCCCAGCTGAGTGGAAATAGATCTACCAGGGAAACTTTTCAGAGGTTATCAGGAGTGACCCAGAGAGAGGAGCGGAGCACAAGTGCCTTTGCAGCCGGGTGACTAGGCCCATCCCTGAGGGCCACTTGGCAGTGGAGACAGTCCTGGTCCTTACTGGGGGAATATGAGCCATTTTTCCAGCCTGGTGGAGCAGGACAGAGGTGGAGCCAGACAGGAAGCAGGCCTGTGCCTCTCAAAGTCCAGTGTGCCATCATGCTGGGAGGCCTCAGAGGGGCCTGGAAAGGGCTTCTGCCCCTGAAGAGATGAGGGACCTCCTCATCTGGAAGACTTTAGGGAGGACCAAGTGGCTATAACCACACTGACCTGCAAGGTGGATACCTGCTAAAAGGGGGAAGGATCCAGACAGACTGAGCTGGAAGGCTCTCTGGAACTGCCACATGGCTTGCAGGGCCCCTTCACCACCACTGGCCTGGTAGCGCCTTGGCGCCTTGCCCAGAAGAGGCTGCCAGTGTGTCTGTGCCCCAAGCCCCCACCGACCAGGTACTGGGCTGATGGGTATGTCTGTGTGTCTGGGCTTAGGAATGGGCAGGAATGGGATTGAAAGCACATCCCCACAGCCTGGTGCTACACAGTTGGCCTAAGAGCCCAATGCAGCAACCATGCTGTCCAAACCAGAGTTAGGGTGTCATCGTCTGACAAGTATGAATAGGAATACACGGGGAGTATGACACAGATTTTCTAATAGGAAGTCTGTGACTAAGGAATTCAAGGGCTTGTGGTTTTCCCACCTGCTAAGCATGTTGAGGCCCAAAGCTATGGTAACTGGACAGACTAAGATGAGCTGCCCCATTGCAAGTTGTGTGACCTCAGACAAGTTCCTTAGCTTCTCTGAGCCTCAGAATGTTCAGCAGCAAATGAGCAAAACAGGTCTAACAGTGATGTGTCTGTTGTTGGACTATTGCAGAATGAAATGAGAGAAGCCTGTGAACGTGACTGGCAGCTATTTTTGCTACTATTTCCAACTACATAGCGTCTAACCTTCAGCTAGTAGTTACGACTCTCTGGGGCCGTGCTTCCTAGGAAATGAAGGGCCTGGATTTCCAAGAGGCCTTAGCCGCTTTAACGTTCTCTGCCGGGCCCCAAGAGAACAATGGGCTTCTCGCTGCTTTAATTGAGTGTCCACCTTGGGTGCTACATGGCTCCGCTTTCCACATGTGGCCCCAGGCCCCACCCCTCACCCTCCCTTTCCTCTTCAGAAGATCTGCAATTTGCCTGGAGAGTTAGTACAGCCGTATTCATTGCAGCAAGAGCTGTGACATCCAGGCATCAAGGAGAAATGGCGGGCTTTGGGCTTGGTACCCTTCTATGGGATGCCAGGAGTCTCAACGATGCTCTTGGTGCTGACTCAGCTGCCCTAAGGCATGCCACCTAGGCATGATTCCAGGTGAAAATGAGCGGACCTATATTTGAGTGACAGATCAGTAAGTGACCAGCTGGGAGACCCTGGAATCTTACTTTACTTCTACAAGCCTGTTTCCTCCTGCAGTTATAAAGCTGTTACCTCACAGTGGATGTTCTGAGGATTGAATGAAATCACGCCAGGCATGTGTCTAGGGTGAGAAGCAGCAGCTGTGTGTGTCGTTGTTGCCTATCATAAAGGGTCATTTCCCATTAAGCATTACATTCTCACTGTAACTACTGTTGTTGATCTTAATGGGAGTGGCATCAGCAGTCTCCGTCTCCCTCATCCACACAGAGGAGCCAGAGGCAGCACCCCATCCAGGCATCAGCTTTCTGCAGCCGTGGATTTGGATATCAGATAGAAATAAAGCCCCAAGCATTATCATCCTGCTTAAGGCATTGTTTCTTAGTAACTTTGGCTCTTCTGTGGGAGTGGAAAGCTAAGGCTGGACATTCTCGGTTTTGTCCCCCAAGAGAGGGCCCTGGCTCTGCAAATTGCTCCAGGCTGCCCCCGTGAGAAGGGTCAGTGGCGGCATCAGGCCTCTGTGTCTGGGGACCGAGGTGGTAAATGTAAATGAGATACTATTCATGAGCCCATTAATCTCAGGCATGAGTGGAGAATGGGCACAAAGGAGTGTTAAGAGCACGCCACCTAAAAAAAAGAAAAAAGAAAAAAAAGAGGGGACCACCTGAACAGAAATAGGAACCCCTCCCTGGGTCACAGAGACACATGTTCCAGAGCCCTGGAGTACCAGCGTTGCAAGCTTCTCCAGCAGCCTTCACTCAGCAAATGAGATACTGAGTTTGTTCCAACTCACTTATACTCAGGAACATCGGATACAGAGAGAGAAAAAAAAAAAAACAAGATGCAAAACCTTTCCTCTTTCCGCATGCCTCCACCCAGCTTCTCAGAAATCTCCAGGGTCGATATTGACAAAGAGAATGAGGAAGGAAATTTTCCACCTAAATGAGAGGCCAAGATCATTCCGAACCCCTTAGTTGTTTATTCTGAAGCTGCCACTCACTGAGAGCTTTGTATGAGAACGTTCTGAATATATCATCTTATTTTCATCCTGTCAACGATCCTACAAGGTGAGTGCTATGGTCAGTCCCACTTTCCAGATGAGGAAGTTAAGGGGAATGATATAAAATAACTTGCCCAAGATCACGGTCACACAGCTGCTAAGCGAGGGAGCCAAGATTTAGATCCAGGACCTAAATTCATAATCACTAGGGGAGTTCCCCAGGGAGTGGGTGAAAGAACCAGAACAGGGTAACAGCCAGTTCCGAAACATTACCTCAGTCCCCCAATCCTTTAAAGAAAGCCTGCTGAACTATCTATTATAAATTAGATGCTTTCACATTTACTGTACTTCCTTTCATCCACACACCACCAACTGTGAGGTCGATATTTTCCTTACTTACGGGGGGAACTGAGGCCCAGAGAGGGGAGACAGCTCCCCAGTCCAGTGGGGGAGCTGGGCTCGGCATCTCACTCTTGGGGGGTCTGCAGTGGCTGGACCAGGCTGCTTTCTGGCATCAGTTGTTCTCTTTCTCCCTTCCAGGGAAGATTCACCATGTGTTCTGAGATGGGCTCCAGCGGCACGGGCATGCAGCTCTTGGCCTTGGCCATCATGACCATCATCGCCAACCTCCTACTGTACTTTTCCAATGGGCAGGTGCTGGAGCCTGCCCAGATTACAGACCTGTTCTGGTTTTTCCACGGCCTTCTTGAAGCTGGACTCTTAGTAAGAATGAGGCTTAGCTACTTTGCAAGTCACAAAGCGATCATGTTATCTTGCACCCACCTTCCCAGAGCATGGCTAGCTCTCTCCCTCTGTCCCCCACAATGCATGATACATAAACACTTGGCATGTGGTACTATAAGCATCTAACTATGTACTCCCCCAGTGGGCTATGAGCCCCTCAAGAAAACAGCTCAGGTCCCATTCACCTTGGTCCTCTAAGTGCCTACCTAGCAAAGTGCTGGCTTAGACCAGAGTTTAATATGAGCTGGTTAATAGCATGAGAGATACACTATAAAAAGCACAATAACCGAGTATTTGTCGGGTTCATCAGGTTTCAACATCCCATCAAGGCTTCCCTCAGCAAAATTATGGGGTTGGCAACCTTTTCCTGTAAAAGGCCAGATAGTATTTCCAACTTTGTGGGCCATGTGGTCTTGTTTCAACCACTCACCTCTGCCACCAAAGGGCAAAAGCAGCCACAGACAATACATAAACAAATGAGGGTAGCTACTGTTCCAATAAAACTTTATTTATAAAGACAGGCAACCTGCTGGATTTACCCCCCCACCTTTAGGTACTGAGTAGATGATACTCAGCAAATGGATGATTGCATGCACCAGGCACAAAGAACCCTCAGAACAAGGTGACCATCTCCCTTCCTGTTTCTTTTCCCCACACAGCAGTAGACACAGTGACCACCTGTCCCCCCATGATGGCAGAGGCCATCTTTCCATTTAAATCAGCAATACCTGAGGGCAAAGCTTGTCTGTGTCTCAGCTCAGAGCCCTTCCTGGCCTAGGAATCTGAAAGACCTTGATCAAAGCATGAGTCTGCCGCTCCCTGAGCCTCAGTAAAAGGAGAATCACGCCATTTCGAAGCAGAGAACATGAAATGAGAACATAGACAGGACACCCCGCACATAACCTGGCAGCCAGTAAAATGCAATCTGCCCCCTTCCCTGGCTCAGACTATCAGCTCCTCCTCTCCAGCCCCCACCTTGCTTACCCCCGAAGGACCACAGGGCCGGCTTGCACCTGTCAGCCCCTTCACCAGGCAAACACTGAACTCCCCTTGACCTCATTCTCTTCACCTGGAGGATTTATAGGCCCATCAGCACCCAACTTCTCTCAAGATAGAAATAAGCAAATGCAGAAACTGTTGAAGGGAGTCAGGTCAAGCACCTTGAGGGAATTTAGATTCCCCAAAGCAGGATCTCATGAAGTTTATTGGGAGAGAGTGAGCCAGAGGGAAAACATGGCCTGGTTGTCAGGAAAGCAGAGTGGATCCTGACTCAGGCCCTCTTTCTCCACTTTTTCTTTCCCACTTTTCTTCTTTATTTTCCTTCTTTTGCTGTTCAGTCTTTAGTGTCCATTCTGTGCCTTCACACGTACCAGCTCCAAGGCACACTAAAATGGGGGTGCTGGGGTTGGAGAGAGGAGGGTGCACTGGAGCTAAATTAGAAGGTGGAGCTGATACGCTGAAGATGCTAGGGGGTGGGGGGAGAGAGCGGTCCCAGTTTGCTCCAGGTACCTGGGGAGACGGTGGGGATATATGGGGTAGATCCCTGAGGGAGGCAGAGATTCCCCATTCCCCTGAGGGATCAGAGGAAGCTTGGCTCCGCTTGGAGACCAGGAGAGAGGCCAGATGGAGAACCACTGCGGGAGGTGATGAGGAACCCCAGAGGCAGAGGGCCCACCCAGGGCTCATGAGTGGAATGAGGGGAGAAAGGAACCCAGGTCAGAAGCCCATTCAAAGACTCCAAGGAGGAGGAAAGCGTGGGAAGGAGACTGAGCAAGAACACTTGGCAAGTCTCAGGCGAAGCCAAAAAGAGGCAAGGAGAAAAGTTGAGAACATTTCAGGGAGCGAGGGATCACAGCACCCACTACCGTGCAAGGGTCAGGGGCGGGCCGGCCAGGCATCTGGGGCGCTGTGAGGTGTGCCCCGGGCCCTTGGCTGGGCAGTCTTGAGGCTGGCAGGGCTCCAGATTGCAGAGGGCTCAGGAGTGAGTGCAGGGGAGGAGCAGGGATCCAAAGAAGGGGAGGAAGGACAGGAGGCAGAACTTCCTTCCTGCTGGGGGGGTACCCAGATCTCAAAAGCCACCAGGGACACTCCGTGGGCAGTGGGAAGCACAACCACTTACACAGCATCAGCTCCATTCGAACACTCTTTAAGGATCTGTGGATCAGCCAGGGTCCATGGTTTCTGCCCTCTGACAGTAACTGTAACAGGCACCTGCACAGAGGTGTAAACATACAATTGCATTTACTTCCCACGGCCACTTTGCAAAGTGGAAATCACTGTCCCCTCCATCTGGGTGAAGAAGTGAGGCCCAGGCTGATTAAGTCACATGCCCACAGTCACACAGCCGGCACAGTGCAGAAATGGGACCAAAACACCCGTCTGAGTCCAGAGCCTGTTCTCCCTCCCTCTCTCCACCCTTGATGCACACGTGTACCCACAACACAGGACGCAGAGAAAGAGAGCATGCGTGGTGCTATGGCAGCAGGGGCCCTGCTCTGCACCACATCCTGGTGAACAGGACACGGAGGCACCTGCAGGGCTGCTCCAGACAGTGCTGCTTTTCAGATAAGACATAAAAACAGGACCACATGAGTCACCCCCCCCTTCCCGCCCTTCCCATCCTCCCACCCTCCCTGCCAGGTAGACTGCCATTTGGGGCTGACTTCCTCCCGCAGTCTCTCACTGCCATGGTGTGTAAGGACATGTCCAACACATGTCATCTCCTTGGTAGGGAAGTCCCCTGCAGCCTCCTCCTATTGTCACTGGAAGGCAGCCTTGTGACATCAGCAAGGCTGTCATCTTGGAAAGCCAATGCCAAGGATGAAAGCTCTCTATTTGCATGGAGCCACACGCCAACCCTGAACTGGCTGGCAGGCTCCTGCGGTTAAACAGCTGGGCATCTGGGACAAGCATACCCTGAACTGGGTGCTCCAGGGACTGAGAAACAGAGCCCCCAGGTCTGTTTGTTGTTGTTGGGTTTTTTTTTTTTTTCATGTAACTGGTCTGTTTTTTACAGGAATATCATTTGCAGACTTAGCAAGACTTCTAGGAGGGAGAGCTTCAGACTAGTCAGTGGTGTGGTTTGGGATCCCTTGGGGGCCTGATTGGGAGCAGAGGGACTACAGTGAGTGCGGGTCTGCCCAACCCAGCAGAGATGGTTCCTATGCTTCTTCAGGCCAAGGGAGATGGCCAAACACATCAATAATCCAGCCCGATGGGGTACGTCCCTGCTGCAGTGGAGCCCAGGGTCTGCAAAATTGGAAACAATTTACCTTTGGGAACCAAGAGAGGCATCCCAGAGAAGAAGGAGTCTGTGCTGTCCTGTATAGAATGAGTAGCTGTTTGTCAGGCAGAGAAGGAAGGAGGGTGTTCCAGGCAGAGGAAGCAGTTTGTGCAAAGGCATAGGAGCATCACAGATTGAGATGCATCTCAATGCATGAAACGTGCAGCTTGTTGCAGCAGGGCCAGGGCTGCGTAAGTGACAAAGCAAAGGGAATGATGCTGGAATGCAGACTAAGGCAAAATTCCAGATGACTTTGCACACCACACTGACAAGCAGCTTCTTTCCCTTGAATACTTCACCCACAAGCATTTACTGAGCACCCACTACGTGCTAGCACTGTTCTCGGCATGAGAGACACAGCAGTGGAAAAAAAGCCAACAAAATTCCTGCTTTCTTAGTGCTTAGTGGGCAAACTAAAAACCATGAATAATTGACTGTATAATATGATGTCAGGTGGAAAGTGTTAGGAAGGAAAATAGTCAAGAAAAAACAGCATAATGCAATGTGAGGAGGTGTGTTTGAGCAGCCACTTGAACGAAGAGAAGAATAAGCCATGGTGATAAGTGGGGTAAGAGCATTCCAAACAGAGGGAATGGCATGTTCTATGGCCCTGAACTGGGAATGCGCTTGAGAGTTCCAGAATCATCCAGAAAACCGGGTAGCTAGAGCCAGCTCAAAAAGGTTGAGGAGAGAGCATAGGAAATGAGGTCAGAGAGAGGAATAAGTGGCCACTGGAGGTTGAAAGAAGCATGAGTGGGTGACATCAAGTTATGACCACCTGGCCTGAAGCCATCAGTGTATTCTGAGCCTGACCTTAGAGCCTGGCTTGCTCCAAACACCAAACTGTGTTCCTCAGAGGGTGCTCAGAGAGACTTAGTTAGCACTCATGTCCTCTACGGTGATTCCCATGGACCCAGACTGTACCCTCACCACACAGTCTCCAGCTGGTCCTCCCATTTGACCCAAGGGAACTTTGAGTCCTCCAAAGCCCAGCGAAGAGCAGAAGTAATTCCCGATGCCAGAAGAGTTATCAGAACTAGGAAAAGCAGCTCACAAAAGGAAGTGTTATGCCAGCTTCCAGGATACAAGTGTACAGGAACCTGAGGCCCAAAGCTGACTGCAGTTCCCCAACACCACCACCACCAGGGCAGCCCAGGGGCCCTGGCCTCTCTCTTCCTACCTGGAAGGTTCTCATCAGCTCTAGATCCCAGCACTGAGTTACCAAGAGATGACTTTGAAAATCTGAGAATTTGGTGAAAACACTTCATTTAAAGAAATATGCCTGAATACAGGCCGCCCGGGTGGCTCAGTGGTTTAGCACCGCCTTCAGCCCAGGGTGGGATCCTGGAGACCCGGGATCGAGTCCCATGTCAGGCTCCCTGCATGGAGCCTGCTTCTTCCTCTGCCTGTGTCTCTGCCTCTCCTCTCTCTCTCTCTCTCTCTCTCTCTCTCTCTCTCTTTGTGTGTGTCTCTCATTAATAAATAAATAAATAAAATCTTAAAAAAAAAAGAAATATGTTCATTGAATAAATGGGAAGCACACACACCCATTATACTAGTCAAGCTTTTCCTGAGAACTTTAATATGCTTTATTCATGCCATAAAACAGTTCAGGGCACACAGTCATTCAGTAATTTGCATGAGGTCTGCAGGAAGTACCAGCAATTCTGGTACTTCGAATAGTCCTCTCCTCTGGGGTTAAGAATTCAACTACGTAATCTGACTGATATCGTTGTTGGGGGGAAAGAAAATGAGGTAGAAAACCAGGAGGGGAGAGGGAAAGAGAGGGCGAATAGGCCCTTAATAACTTCACCTCCTCGGCTCCTAGAGGGAAAGGGCTCCCACAATAAATTCTCCAATCAAAAGAAAAAAATGCACCCCGTGTAAGGCACCTAGGAACTGAATCACTGAACTAGGAAGAAACTTCGATGTCAATATTGTAATCCCTCTACCTTTTATAGATTAAAAATGAAGAGGCGAGAGAGGTTAACCTGGATCCAGCCCACAGAGCTAGTGTATGGCACGGCAAGGGGTGGAATGCAGGTCTCTGGGCTGACGTTCAAACGATGCCCCAGACAGACGACAGGGACAGCTCCGAGCAGCAGTGCCGGGGTGGAGGGGGGCAGTTCTGGTCAGGGTGTGTTCTGCTTGCACCCGCACCCCATTCTCTACAGTGCCCACCGTTCCCTATTCGACCAGGATACATTTTCGGACTGAAAATGACCTGCCTCACCTCTAAAGGCGGGCCTGTGAGCTTGCCTCACCCCACTTCAGACTCTTGGGTGGGAAACAGGGAATGATCATGTTTAGCGCCAATCGCACGCACATGGACCGCACATTCCCCAGGGGACGGTTTCCCGGACGCCTGCAACGGCAAGCTCGGCTACCGAGCCTCCTTCCGGGTGAGGCGATTTTTTGGCAGCGTCAAGTTCATCCATTACCTGTTTAGTTCTTGTTCCTGGCCCCGGCCCTGTCAAGCCAGGGGTGCGGTTCTCCCGCCCCACACCTCCGGAAGAAACTGTGGGTCATCACAGGCTTCACCTCCCTGGCACGGGGTCCTGAGTCCGTGGTGGCACTCTGGTGGCAAGTGCTGACCCAGACCTCCGTGCCTGGCCACGAGAAGCAGGATGCCCAGTGCTCAGCGCGACCGGACAGATGGGCAGGTGTGAGGGCAGGCGTGACTCGTTCTGCCGGGCGGGGGTCACAGAGAACGACAAAGAGAGGACGTGTAGTTCTCCTACAGCTGCTATAACAAATCACCACAACTTGGTGCTGACAATATCAGAAACGTAAGCTCACACTGTCCTGGAGGCCAGAGGCCCTAAGTAAATGTGTTGGCAGGGCCCACGTTCTGGGCCCTGGGGGAGAACCCACTCTCTGCCCCCTCGAGCTTCTGGCGGCCTGCCCTTGGCATTCTTTGGCTTCTGAACTCACCACTCCAATCTGTGCCCTCTCCTCCGCGTCGCCTTCTCGTCCCTCAAAGCTCCTCAAGACTCCTTCTGCCGGCAGCCCCAGTGGCGCAACGGTTTAGCACCGCCTGCAGCCCAGGGCGTGATCCTGGAGACCCGGGATCGAGTCCCACGTCAGGCTCCCTGCATGGAGCCTGCTTCTCCCTCTGCCTGTGTCTCTGCCTCTCTCTCTCTCGCTCTGTCTCTATGAATAAATAAATAAATAAATCTTTAAAAAAAAAAAAAGACTCCTTCTGCCTCCCTTACAAGGATACGTGTGATTGTATTTAGGGCCCACCCAGATAAACCAGGATAAACTCCTCCTACAAAGATCCCAACCGCATCACCCTTTTTTTTAATATAGGGTAATATTTACAGGTCCTGGGATTAAGAAGTGAATGTGCCTTTGAGGGGCCGTTGTTCAGCCTACCACAGGAGTCAACACGTGAACTGGCCCTCTGAGGGTGAACAGGAGTTGACCTCATGGCAAAGGGTGAAAGGGATATTCCAAGGCCCAGAGGCAAAGTCCTGGCCCTAGCCTGGGAGCCCAGAGGTCTCGATGATGGAGAGGTGAGAGGCTCTGGTAGCCGGGCAAGACCACGCCACAAAGGGCTCATGCACAAACTCCAGGGCTGGTGTTGTATTTTGCAGTCAATGAAAAATCATTAGACATTTTTCAGTAGCTAGAGACACCTCAAAACTTTGTTCCAAAAAGGTAACGTTCCCCTTATTCCAAAAGCATTTTCTTTGCCACAGGTAATGGTGCGAGCGCTAATGCTGTTGAGAGAAGGCAGAGGGGGCTGCTGTGCTCACAGATGTGTGGTAAGTGCTGTGGGGTCCACGGAATGTTTACCCTCCCACCACACCCACCCCACAAGGGCTTATTTGCAAAGCTGTGTGCTTTCTCTCCTCTGAAGGATAGGCTATTGACCAATGTCTAGTACCCTCCTTTTAAAGCACAATGATCTAGGGGTGCCTGGGTGGCTCAGTCAGTTAAGCGTCCAACTTTTGATTTCGGCTCAGATTATGGTCTCAGGGTCCTGGGATCAGGCCCCACATTGGGCTCTGCACAGAGTGTGCAGCCTGATTGAGATTCTGTCTCCCACCCCTCCCTGCTCTCTTGTGTACGCTCTCTCTAATGAAAATAAAATACTTTTTTTTTTTAAATAGGGGCTCCCGGGTGGCTCAGTGGTTGAGCATCTGCTTTTGGATGAGGCCATGATCCCAGGGTCCTAGGATCAAGTCCTGCAGGGACCCTCCTTCTCCCTCTGCCTACATCTCTGCCTCTCTCTGTGTGTCTCTCACGAATAAACATAAAAAATCTTTAAAAAAAACTTTTTTTAAATAAAGCACAATGATATTATGTAGGGCTCTAGCCAACAGAAATGGGGACTGCTGCAGGAGATCCCAAGAAAAACAAGCCTGGAGAGAGGGGTGGAGAGAGCCATTTGTGAAGGCTCCGTTAGACCAGCCTGCTGGGTTTTGTGGGCTGTTTCTCTCGGCCGTCTACAGGAAAGTCAAGGACTCTCCCATCCTCTGGCTTTCTTATTTCCCCAGTAGCCAATGGAGCAACACATCACAGAGCTGAGATTCAGGCCAGAAGGGATGTTGGAGATCTTACTCCCAAAGCACTTCCACAGACACACTTTCCATGGCCCCGTGAAGAACAGAGGCTGACACTCAAAGTTCGCCCATTATGTATTTATTTCCTGTTCCTGACTCCTGGCCCTCTGAAACCACTGCCCTTTGTCCTGTCCAGCACTGACAGAAAAAAGTTGCCAAAATGTCCCTACAAATTTTGCAAACTTGTTTCCATTTGACAGCTAGAAAAGGAAAAGCCCAAAGAGGCTGGACTTATTATTCATGTCTGTCCAGAACCTTAGAAAATGATCCTATTTGGAAACACGTAATTAGTTAAGGATCAGGATGAGATTGTTATGAATTAAATCCAAGGCCTGCCCAGATTTGCACAGCCTTAACTTTAGATCCAGAAAGGACGTTTAGGGAATTATCTGGCCAACCTCAGGAAGAGTGTAAGCTCCTTTCTTCAGCACCAGGCCCCGATCTTATCAACTGCGTACCCCAGACGTCTGACACAGAGCTGGTTCTCTGGTCATTCCAAATGAAGGCAAGACTGGCCGAGTTAGGACTCAGTCTCTGCTGCCTGACTCCTGGGACCGTGCTCTCTCCCACATGCTAAACTGCTTCCTGGTGTCCCTGATCACAGCCAGCAGCTCACCGCCCTTCCAGTCCATACAACATCTTACTTCTCTCTTTGGCTTCAAAGCTCCCTCTCTGTCTCTTGCAGCCACCAGTCTTGCTCCCTCCCTAGGGAGCAGTCCTTAGCCACTGTGTTGTCTGAGAACAATCTCCAAGGGGCTCCCCGAGCCCTTCCATTCGGCCCGGCTGTCCCCCTCCCTCAGGCCCTGTAGTAGGAAAGACACTACATGGACATAACAGGGACAAAAGCTCATACTTTGAAGCAAACAAGTCCATCAGCTTTGTTCCATTTCATTAATGCACTAATATGCTGGAAGGTCACCTCCCCTTGACACTCACATCACTGCCACACTCACCTGCCGGTCCAGTCAACACGTATTTATGGAGTTTGTACACAGTAAAGCCCTGTGTTGGTCACTGACTCAGCCATTAGAAAAACAAGTCCACTCACCCAATCATACAACAAACATTTGCTGAACACCCCCCACCAAGAGGGCTAATAGGTTTCCTTTAGAGTGCCAACACCAACTGATGGACCCCTTGTTCTGTGGAGGCCTGGGAGGCCTTGTCCAGGGCTGGTGGGGAAGAGTGCTGGAATCAATTACGGATGTCTACCATGGGCGCAGATGAGGAGACTGGCAGCACACCTCATTTCTGTGCCAGGCAGTGGGCAGGCGGTAGGCGCTGGCAGTTCAATGATGAATAAGTTGCATTTCCCGCTCACATTTTGTAGTGAATGATTTCATTTCTTTAGAATTGCAGCTGGGGCAGGTGAATGGACGGAGGGTTTCTCAGCTCTCCTACCCTATGCTTTGTGCATTTGGGATGGAAAACAAAAACACCAATGTACTGTTGTGGTATCTACAAGAGAAGATTCAGATCGTCTTCAATTTACCAGGAAACTTGGGGAATGCGTCTTTAGAAAGCACCAGCACCTCCCTCTCCCCACCATGGCACTGAATTGTTTTACAGAAGATGCTGTTTCCTGTGCTTCTGGCCATGCAGGGCACAATGGAGGCTGTGTACCATGTGGCCATTTCTTTACTCGGTTTGTTCTGTGGCCCCTTCTGTGACGCAGGCAGTGGAACCTATACCTACCCTTTCAGGCATAACACCATGGAGTGAATAGCATTGGGTCAGTGGGCCTTGGGTCAGTGTCCACCATCTAAATTTTTTTTTAATTTTTATTTATTTATGATAGTCACAGAGAGAGAGAGAGAGGCAGAGACACAGGCAGAGGGAAAAGCAGGCTCCAAGCACTGGGAGCCCGACGTGGGATTCGATCCCGGGTCTCCAGGATCGCGCCCTGGGCCAAAGGCAGGCGCTAAACCGCTGCACCACCCAGGGATCCCAGTGTCCACCATCTAAAGATGATACGGCTGATAACCACAAAGAGCATGTGCTCTCAGTATTGACTGCCTCACAATGTGGCGAGTTACCTCCAGTAACTCCCTTGTTCCTCTCTCCACACCTGCTCCCAAAGCAGGAGTATCTGGGAGGTGGTTGGCCAAGACAAGGAGCCCTTGGCTATGGTATTCAATACAATAGCTTATAATGAAGCTACATCCAGCTACGGTATTCAATACGATAGCTTGACTTCTTTAACCTTAATCATTAAATTCAACTGGGTAGGTGCTGAGGACCTGCATAGTACTGGCTAGGCACCATCATGTGAGAAAGGAGTACAGAGAAAAGATAAGGCAACTTGCCTATTTGCAAGGTGCTTATATTCTAATTGGAGAGACAATTACCACACTTGGGGTTGCATAAATATCCTGACATGGCTGGGCCCTGAGATACCCATTTGTTTTCCTAAAGGAATAAGAAACCCAGCACCAAAGACTGAGAGAGACCCTGCTTCTCTTCTCATTTTGTGTTGTCTCCCTAGCAGATCACATCTGTCCCCATGGCTTTCAGAACCATCCATCTATAAACGTAAATAATCCCAATATGTTTATCTCTAGCCTAGATCTTTCATCTGAATTCTTTTTTATTTATTTATTTATTTATGATAGTCACAGAGAGAGAGAGAGAGAGAGAGAGAGAGGGGCAGAGACACAGGCAGAGGGAGAAGCAGGCTCCATGCACCGGGAGCCCGACGTGGGATTCGATCCCGGGTCTCCAGGATCGCGCCCTGGGCCAAAGGCAGGCGCCAAACCGCTGCGCCACCCAGGGATCCCTCATCTGAATTCTTAACCCAAATACCTAATAGCCTTCTTGAAATTGCCTCTTGAACACCTCACAGCATTTCAGTATTAATACGTCCAAACCCCTTGCTGTTCCCCCACAAATCTCCTTTCTTGGTCATCCCCAGCCCATTAGATGGCACCTACAACCTGTGAGTCATCTTTTTCTTCTCCTTTCTTACTTTCTCCATTGAGTCCATCGCCAAGTCCTACCAATCCTCCCTCAACAGTATATCTTGAATTGGCCACTGCTGTTCACCTAGACTGCCATCACCCGCTTCCAAAACCTATCCAGCACCCTTTACCTCCAACAAGTATCCCATTTCCATTTTGCCCTTCAATCCTTAGACATTTGCCAAAGGGATTCTGTGAAATGTAAAAGTGCTGACAAGGCCATGAAACTTTGCTTTCAAGAAACTTGTGATCTCATTGGGAACCCAATAGAAATGGATATGGATATATGGGTAAAGGTAGAGATAGAGACAGGGATATCAAATAATACATAGCCCCATGAACTATGGCCTGAAAAACCTATTCCATTTCCTTCTGTCCAACTAAATTTGACTCATGATTTTTGCTTACACAGTATGTCTTCTTACAGCTCGTTGCTCTTCCCTCTGTTGCTGCTCCTTCAAGGCCAGGTGACTCCAGCTCTCTGAAGTCTTCTCCAGTTACTTGAGACCCCTCAGATCTCCCCTTTCCATAATAATGATTGGGATGTAATTAAAATATATCACCTACTACATGGCAAGGGCTGTGCTAACACCTTAACCTGATCCTCCCAATCACACTATAGAATTAATGCCATCATCAACCCCATTTTTGATATAAAGAATCTGATGTTTGGAAACATTTAGGAAAATTGCCTAGAACATAGTGAAGGGGCTGGAATTAGGACCTAGGTCCATGGGATTTTGAAGCCCAAGCTCTTAACCACTCCTAACTGCCTCTAAGATCGGTACAGCAGTTAAAATCTTGTATCACACAATTTCCTGCTTCTCCATATGCTCTCCTGTGTGGCTACATATGTACCTACAATGCCTTGCTGAGCTGTTGTGCTATTAGAGGGAAAGATGATATGTTCAACCCTCCAACCAATGGGCAATAATAAATCTGCTGTCTTTATGAAGATGAGAGCAACAAGACGCTGTAAGCTTTGTAAGCACCTGTGTTAGACTCATGCTTCTCTATATGTGTAGGTAGCAGTTCCCTCCCTCTCCTGTCCCTCAAGGCCAGGCTAACATTCCTCCTCTGTCCTGCAGGGACAACTACTTATTCAACCAGCTGACCTGGGCCACCTGCCAGGAGCCTGAGCATATCATCCTCTGGAATGATTTGCTTTCCATTCTCCTGGGCATCGGTGTGCTGGAAGCTATGCTCTGCCTTCTTCAAGTTGCCAGTGGACTCTGTAACATCTTCTGCGGTACATGTGTCGGAAAAGGACAGGTCAGTGCTTCTGGAACCCAGGAATTTTCAAGTCATTTCCCCAGATCTGTTTGCTCTATCTCCCTCCTACTCCAATCCCAACACTCTCAGAGGTAAGCCAGTAACTAGAAAATGCCTTCTGAAATACAGAACTTCTTTTGACACTTTGGGCTTAATTTTTTTCCAGGTGGACATAACTGGCTCCTGATCTAAGAAATCACAAATGATTGACACATAAAGAAGACTTCCTCAGGTTCTGAAGAACTGGATTTGGTGAATGTCAATCCCCAGAGTTCTGAGAAGCTGAGAAAACAAAATAACAACAACAAAAAAAAACTTTCCTTCTAGAGTAGATTTTTATAAAAAGATAAGGGTTTTGAAAACTTTATCTTCTTTATTAGAATCAATATTGTTGGGATCCCTGGGTGGCGCAGAGGTTTGGCACCTGCCTTTGGCCCAGGGCGCGATCCTGGAGACCTGGGATCGAATCCCACGTCGGGCTCCCGGTGCATGGAGCCTGCTTCTCCCTCTGCCTATGTCTCTGCCTCTCTCTCTCTCTGTGTGACTATCATAAATAAATAAAAATTAAAAAAAAATCAATATTATCATTTCCCTCAAATGACGTGTAAGAATGATACACAATGTCATAAGACTGTACAATAATAGAATAATAAATGATAATCTAACAGTAGGTGTTTAATAAATTCATTACTATATCCCAGGTTCTGTGTTAAGTACTTTATCTACATTATTTCAATTAATCCTATAAAGCAAGTGTCATTTTAACACCATCTTAAGATGAGGAAACATCCTCAAAGAGGTTTAGTTACTTGTCCAAAGTTAATGAATCTAAGTTTTGAATTTGAGCCTGATTTCAATATTTATATGCTTTTTTTTAAAAAACATATTTTATTTATTTATTCATGAGAGACACAGAGAAAGAGAGACAGAGACATAGGCAGAGAGACAAGCAGGCCCCCTGAGGGGAACCTGATGTAGGACTCAATCCCAGGACCCTGGGATCACATCCTGATCCAAAGGCAGATGCTCAACCACTGAGCCACCCAGGTGTCCCTCACCATTTATATTTTTAACCACTCTCCAGTGGTTCTGAGTTTATTGCTTAGAGACTAGGTCCATGGATTATAATAGGTGTTACTCATTCACAAAATAAGGGGTGCGGAGGACTCTGCTGTCAAGTTAATTTAAGATACCCTGGATTAAACAAAGATTAAACAAAGTTTAATACGTTTCTTCACTACAGGACTTGTCAAAACCTTTATAAAGCCAGTATAAGATATTGCTAATCTCCAGGAAGAGCATAGTAAACACATAGTTGCCCAGGTCTCTTTGACCACAAATTCCTTTTCTCCTGGAACAATTTTTACGGTGTTAAGATCCCATGGAGCACACTTTGAGAAACACTGCATAACTCAGTGATGAACTAGAACCTACCTCACTTAACCCATGAGAATTTAAGAGACTTCCAAACCACCAGCGAAGCAGAAAACTATAGGATGAAACAGGTTAAGGACTACTCACCTATGCTTTAAAAAGGAAAAGTAGAGAAGAGAAAGAACAAGAGAAGAGGAAGAGGAAGGGGACGAGGAAGGAAAAGGGGGAGAGGAGAGGAGAGGAGAGGAGAGGAGAGGAGAGGAGAGGAGAGAAGAGAAGAGAAGAGAAGAGAAGAGAAGAGAAGAGAAGAGAAGAGAAGAGAAGAGAAGGAAGAGAAGAGAGAAGAGAAGAAGAGAAGAGAAGAGAGAAGAAGAGAGAGAAGAGAAGAGAAGAGAAGAGAAGAGAAGAGAAGAGAAGAGAAGAGAGAGAAGAGAAAATACATTGTGTAATATCTGGAATCAGAAGTTTTCTTGTCAGGTTTCTTTACCGTCATGGCAACAGACATCTGTGGGAGCCCAGTGTACCATACAAGCTATGACAATTACCAAGGAGGCATCAGACAGGGTCTCTGCTTTATAAACTTGCCAACTAATTGATCCTGCATGGTTGGTTGCTTCCAGAGAAGATCTCCTGGACCCCTGCCAGCTCAAATGGCACTTTTGCCCACATTAGAAAAAGGGCAGAGGATATAGCTTGGCAACGGCAAATTTTAAAAGGCACCTTCTCGTCCAGGTTGATGCAGCCTGTAGGAGTTGCATGTCACCCTACAACCCCACTTGCCCCACCAAAATTCATGTTTAATAGAAACCTCAGAATGTGACTTTATTTGGAAATAGCGTCTTTGTAGATGTAGTTAGTCAAGAAGCGGTCATACTGGGTTAGGTGGACTATAACCCCAAACCCAATATGATCAGTGTCCTTATAAAAAAAAAAAAAAGAAGAAGACACAACAGGGAAAAGGCTGTGTGAAGATGGACGCAGAGGTTGAAGTTAGGCTGCCACAGACCAACGAATGCCAAAGATTGCCAGCAACCATCAGAAGGAGGGAGTCATGGAACGAACAGATTCCCCTTCTGAACCTCCACACAGACCCAGCTGACATCTTGATTTCAGACTTGTCGCTTCCAGAACTGGGAGAGGAAAAATTTCTGTGGCTTTAAGCCACCCAGTTGGTGGTAGTTTGTTAGTCTGGGAAACTCAGACACAGCCCCACACCAGGGGACAGGTGAGCAGGGCACAGACTTCATTTCAATACTCCCCACCGCCCTCCCCCTCCATCTCCGGGACACACTGCCTTGTGTAGAAACCACCTGCTCAACTGAACAGGGTGGCCCCGCTGCTGTCACCCAGCTGCCCTGCTTACGCAGGCTCTCCCTTCAGCTTCCTGCTACAAATCTAGATACACAACCCCAGGGAAGAGATGTGCCCTGCAATGAGCCCAGCAATGGGCTAGTACCCGATTGCTCCCTCCCTGAGCCCTGACAGCACTCTGACCTCACTACCCCGTGAGGAAGAAGGGCAAGTCTTTAGGACAGTTGGTCCACCAGATGGGATGGCTCTATATGCTATAAGTACTATTTCCCTGGGAGGGGAAAAAAAGCCAAAGCAAAGACCTTTATTAGCTTTTCCTCATTGAAACACCCTCTGTGTAAATTGATGGATTTGGAGCAAGGGAGGAGAAAAGTGTTCTTTCTACTTCTGGCAAAAGTCCCTCTTGTGGTTCTTCCTTTGGTGAGTAAAAGGAACTCGCTGTTAAAGACACCAAAGTACAAACATTCTGCAGCCAGTAAAATGGGTGGAGGGGGCACTGAGCCGCCCTGGGGTGGAGCCCAGCTCATAAAGGCGGCAGAGCTCTGCTACAGTGCTCTGCAAGTGGCTTTGGAGGGAGGGAAGAGTGTGGGGCCAAGCATGAAATGGTCATGATCAAGCCACTAAAAAAAAAAAGAAAGAAAAAGAAAAAAGTGTTTATTGCCAAGTAGAAAATAACTCTGAAATTAAGTAGGTTTTCAAGGCTGACCTAGGTCTAGTCTTTAGCTACTCCACACTTATTTCTTGAGTTGCCACTATGTGCCAAAGCAAAGTGCCTGGAGAAAGGAAGGATGAAAAGGCTCTCAGTTCTGGAAGAAAAAGTCTAAGTGGAGGGAAAAATCTCACTGCACAGCCACCCCAGAGGATTGGCCGAATTGGGGGAACTTCTAATCTCATCTTTTAAAATTCCTCACCCTCTCAGGAGAAACTGATGTTTTCCAGACCACTGAGGACTGATGTTTCTCAAAGTTACCTTCTGGACATTTAAAATTGTTTTTCCTTCAGTAAAAACTATTCAAAACAATAGTTTTTAGAATATGATACACATGTTATTGGGAATAAGAAAATAGCTCTCCATAGTGAGTTCAGAAACTGTTCCCACTTCACTCTTTACACCTTCTAGAGTATGAGCATTTTCACATTTTTCCAGAATAAGCAAGGAAAACTGTTATAATGATAAATATATGTGAAAAACTTGGGTTCATCATTTGCAGAAACCCTCTAGAAGACTGCCATGTCTGGTGAAATGCTCTTGAAGTCCTAACCTTTACTTGAGAGAAACGTCAGGGGTCAAGGCTCACCAACAAACCAACCTACAGTATTTCTTCCAAGTCAAGTGGTCTGAAATAATTTTAACACAGGGACTTGCACTGTAGGCTGTGTGTGTTGGAGAGGGGGGCTGGGAATGAAGCTAACCGAAGTAGCTTGAGAAAATCTGGAGAAGGTTGTGTTGCCTGGAAACAGTAAGGCTAAAGAACAAGGGAACTGTACACCAACTCTACTCCAAAGTTGTTTCTCTGAGAGGTAGGAATGAATGAATCCAAAGCTGCTCTGTTTGTACCCTGGAACTGGATGGTAGGTTGTGGGAAGCAGGTATCTCAGTGTTAAAGAAAGAAGTTTCAGACAAGCAAGGAGGGAGGGCTAGAATGACCCACGTACTACTGAGCCAGAGTCAAGGACATCAGTGTAAATTCATGTTTAGCTTCATATAGATGCAGATGGGTAAGTAGAAAAATACAAATCTGTGGATACGTAAAGATTATTATCTATCCATGTGTTTCCTGGCTCTGTCTACCAAGAGAGCTAGAAGCAATGACCCTCCAGGAGCAATGAGCATACCCGTGCTCATTTTTATTTGCTTTAAATAATATATGATTTTTACATTTAAAATTCTATTGGATTTATTGAGTTATTAAGAAAGAAAAGAAAAAGGAAAATGGGCTTCCCTGATTAAGAGTCTTTGAGCTTCTCCACCTACCCCAGTGGCAGTCTAGAAAACCCAAATCATCCATAATTTGAGGCGGACTCAACTAGCTGGGCCCGTGTCTGAGCATCGTCACAACCAAGAGACACAAGGGCTCATTACATAGGCTTCCTCATTCAGCCTTTTCCACCAAGGTAGTGTGCTGAGAGGGGGTCAAAAGAAGTTAGTTTAGGTCATAGAGACAATATCCATGCCCCCTGACCCCTGAGAAACCAGCAGCAGCCCTAAAGTGACTGAGAATGCGGGTGCAGGAATATAATACAGTCAGACCCATTCCTTTGCATTGGATGCTTTCTTGCCCTACCATCATGTGCCATTGCATGCCTGCCATCCCCTCTGACCCTGCATGCAAACAATACCCCAAGGATAATTGACAACCCCCTGATTTGAGCAGGTGACCCCTCCATTCCCATATCCCCATTGTCACACCCACCTTGTTCACATGCCAGATTCCTCCAGCTGGCTGTGATGCAGGATAGGACTGATTTCTCTGTCTCCCCAGTGCCCAGGGCATGACAGGCTCTCCATAAATGTTTAGTGAATGAATACATGAAAGAGTGAATGACCGAATATTC